TTGATCCACCCGCAAAAAGAACTTTCTCCACTTTACCTTTAAGTTTAGAAATCTTACAGCATCCAAAATTCTATTAAACCAATTCCAAAACTGACTGTTACACTTTAAGATAAATGTCAGTTTTGTTGTTTAAGTTATTTGTTTTCCTTGGTACATGTCATGTTCCATTTCACTTTCTGTCTGTTTTCTCTCAGACCATATTTTAAACAAAGCAGTAACATACATTTGAACACGTCCATCAGAGGCTGAACATTGAGGGTTTTGTGTTAAACTAGCTCCAATATGCTGAGTCATGTAAATCCCTACGGGAGTCCCAGGAAGTGCTTGCGTTTGTCTGTTAGGGACATGATTACGTTCTTTTCTAATCTCCTCTCGCCGTATGTTTTCCAACACATCCCTTTACAGTACACACACACTTCAGTTCACATTTGCAGACACCTTACAGTTATATAATTTGGAAGCCCCAATGGATTAATTTTCTGGAAGTCAACCTCTTATTTGCTAAATGAGATTAGAGCAATTTGCTTTGATGTTAAGCCGTGTTACTCAGTTATTTGATTTTTGTCTATTTCCATATCTGTGTTTATTACTTCATGTGTCTTCTTGTGAGTTTGCACTTGTGTATGAGTAGGGGTCAGTGGGAGTGGTGGGTATGTAAGAGAGTGACCACCAGCCTTCTATATATAGCGCCTTCCTCCTCCCCTTGGCTCTCTCTCAGAACAGTGTTGAAATTCCAACCCAACTTTTCTGGTCGGACCTACGCAAGGATAAGATTGTGCTTAACTACTGCAGACAACTTAAAGACAGACACTTTTAAAGAGTTGCTTCCTTTCAGAACTTTATTCCAATGGGATTCAAGGATTTAAAGGTCACAGGAACTACTGTAAAGAGAAGAGGTGGCAGGTCGGAGGCGGAGCTGGAGCTAAAGTAGGAACTGAGAGTTTTGCTTTTGGACTCGTATAACTTACAGGCATGAGGCCCTGCACAGCCTCTGATCTGCCCAAACTTTTGGAGATATCTTCAACTCCCATCTGTCCAGTCACATTTCCTCAAAATAAGTCATCACTTGCTGTTTTTTGGGGGAATATTTTAAATGGATACCATTTCCTCTTCTGACACTGCGGCTGTTTAAGATCTAAGGCGTCCAGCCACCTTCACATGGACACTTTCTATCCATTTCTGGCTCCTTTAGTCTGGATGCAGCATATTTTCCAGAAAATTTGGAATAGAGCTGTAAATGCAGTTTTTGGGACATATTTCTTCTCAACTATCCCAAGGATGGAGCTTTACACTTTTAGCTTTGGTTAAACTGACCAAGCGTTTTAAGAGACACATTAATATGATGTCTGCAGTTTCTGTAGTGGTAGATTTTTTTGGGCTTTACAGAAAAACATTGCTTTGAAAGGAAACAGATTTATAAAGTTATGGATGCTGACTTTTACTTTCAGTAAAAGTTATTTTATCCCTTCATATACGCTGCACCTGTACCTTTTATCATTAACATCATGGAAGTTCCAACCAAATGGAGCAGGGCCAGTGTCATCAGCTTCATCAAAGGCCTTGGTAAGCTTACATGGGTGCACATTCATATCCACACGTGTGTGCTCAGGTTTCATCCAAATGCATGGTTGAATGACGCCAAGAAGGCTGTGCGCCCATGGGGTTTAGTTCTCACCTCTCCACTGAGTCAGGTCACATGGTCACTGAAGGTCAATTAAGACCTGACGCCGTAGGTGTAGGGGAGTTTTATTCCTTTCTGACATGCGTTCAGTCATCAGCAGCAATAGTCTTCAGCCCAACATGAGCATAAATCTTCCTATTGCTGTACGGGGCGTTAATATGCTTTCAGATGCATCACAGGAAATCTTTCATACATTAGTTCTTGAGTAGTTTTTTGTCTCTTACACATACTTCATCAGGATGTCATGCTCCTTATTGTTTAATCAGTTTATTTTCCCGTCTCATTATAGTTAATGGTGTCGAGGCTTAACAGCGATGTAATTATAAATGAAAACCAACACACTGCATTTCACAATAAAATATGTCTTTGTCCATCTTTAACCCTAGAAAGCTTTTCACTGCCAAACCTGGACAGATTTTCACATTGTGTGAAGAATTAAATCAAACAGCAGATTGACTTTTGACATGGTTGGCTAGTGTATTGATTTTTTTTTTCTTTTTGGATCAAAAAGTAAAATTCATCTTTAAAAGATCTGATTTTATCCGCAAAAAATACACGAGACATATAGTATGGCTTACAATTATATCTATACTCTTAAACTAATCATCGTCAACCACAACTGTTTTAGTATATTAATAGACTGTATGTAGTATACAACACAAAAAACCACATTATTTCTTAGGGAACAATGCATTTTTATTTTGTTTTGCAAATAAAAATTCTG